CTCCCGCTCGGAATCCCCAGCCACACCCACACCCACACACACACACACACACACACACATATATATATATATATTGTAAAAGGCGACCTGTCAAGTGAACAGCTTGCAGCCAAAAAGCTGATTGATTTTATATGAAATGTTCCTGTCCAAAACGAGCCTGTCCAAATTTAGGAATTTGAATTTATGAAAAAGAAGATCTTCTAGGCGGTCGTTCCTTAAAAATTTTCAAAAGAGTGTTAATTATGTTAACAATTAACATATATACATACACTTAATATATATATATATATATGCAAGTTACAAAAAATATATATTACCCACGATTATAATTTCATATTAAGATTATATCTACATAAATACGCCGCACGTGCACAAGGCTAATTGAAGGAAGCTGGCCAGTAAGTTGTCTGCATATCGATACATGCACGTATATGGTATTTATATACGTATGTATATCATATATATATATATAATATATGTGTGATACATACGCACACAAGCACACACGCATATGCATACCAGCCGTAGATCACATGATTCCAGTTCTTACACACATATATAACCATGCAAATGTCCTGTCACCAATGCATATCTACGTACGTTACAAGTATTTACATGCAACATGTGCGTATATACCGTAATTTTTTTCAAAAACAAAACTCATATTTCATTATACGTATATATACATTTACACTAATTATAATATAGTAAATATAATTTTTAAATAAAAAATACATATACACTAATTCTATAAATAAAAAAAATAAGACGAGAGACCCGGTCTGATATGATTTAAATAGTTATATTATATTAATTTTTTTATTTTAAACTTAGAAAAATTAAATAAAATTCTAACTACGTACTTTGACTTATAATTTACGAGAGGTATATAATAATTAATTATATTAATATTCAATGTAATTATGTGTAAAAATATTATAATAATTAATTATATTAAAATATTAAAACTGTTATTTGGAAATTGTAATTAAAAAAAAAAAGAATTTGCAGGCCAAATAAATAAATAAATAATTATTTTTATTCAATGATATTGTGAGGTCCCTCTCACCCTCTTCTTTTTTAAATTTATCATGAAAAATAAAATAAAATAAATTGAATTAAAAATTAAAATCCCACGGTCACCCTTGACAAGTCATCATCCATCATCATTTCCACTTCAATGACCTTTTTACCCCTGGCCTTGCACCCAAAATATCGAAAATGCCCCTGGGCAGACCCATGCCGGTAGCCAATCTGGCGACGAGTTGCTCCCCTAGGCGCGCGCACGTGAATAAGGGGTGGGGATTTTCGTGTTCTTGTCGGGTCCTTTTCGAGAACGATTCGATCTGTTGGCCGCCCGTGATCCGTGAGGCTATTTTAGTAATTTAAGCGGTCGAGGCGGCTGACTCGACCGATGGCATTTTGGTAAATTCGAGAAATTTAGAGTGGCATTTTGGGAAAAGAAGGGTGGCCTTTATGAATATATTCCCAGATGCGGACAAATACCGGAACTGTACGAGCTTTTGTCAGCTTGTAATACCCAAAAAAAAGTTTTCGTCAGTGGGAACACGTTAGAGGTGAATTTCCGATAATACCCTTCCGAATTAGTTTATTATTTATTTATTTATTTATTTATTTGAATTATTTTATTAATAACTAAGAAAAAAATTACCTCGCTACTGTAAAAAATATACACACAGTAATGTTTTTTGGTTTCACTATTTGGAGAAGAATGGTAGATTATTTGTACGAATAATTTGGAAGATATAATCGGATGACATATATATATATATATATATTTATAATACAGAGCTAAAAGGAAGACCTAGCTTCTTATATATGTTCTTCTTGCTGATATACCAAGAACTCTCTCTCTCTCTCTCTCTCTCCCTTCTGCTCTCGGCTTCTTCGTCCTCATCACCTGAAATGGAGGAGGATTTTCTGGGTTTTGTCCTCCTCTAATCACAACCGAAATCCCAACTTTCTCTTTCTCTGTTTCCTTCTTCTTATTTTAATATATATACCCACATAGTATATAATATAATATATATAATCTCTTCAGTTTCAGAGATCCCAATCAGCACTCGTAAGAACAAGAACAAGGAAGAAAGAAAGAGAAAAGAGCAACTAGCAACTACAAAACAAAAAAAAAATGTTTCTTCCCCACTAAAAATCTGTCTTCTTCTTCTTCTTCTTTCGATCTTCTCAGCTAGTCTCTTTCTCTTTGTTCAAATGTCAAGTATTACAGCTGGAGATGTAGGTGGTGGTGGAGGAAGCTTTTCTTCCGGGAACATTAATGGCGGATCATCATCACAAGAAGTAGTAGTACTTCAACAGCAGGAGCAGCAAGTACCAGTTGTAGTACTGAATCATCATCATCATCATCATCATCCTCATCATCTTAATAGCTCAAGCTCTTTAGCTTCAAGTACCAGTAATAGCAATGGCTCCATAACTCAACAACAGCAAAAACCTCCACCTCCTAAGAAAAAAAGAAATCTACCAGGAACTCCAGGTATATATACATATATATATATATGTACATATATAATCAAATCTATCTATATCTCTCAGTTTCAATTAGCATATGTATGATCTTTGATGTTTCTGTTTATGGAGGATCAGTTTGATTTGTCTAAGACATTATAACTTTTCCATCTCCATGCACATTTTCGAAAGAAGAGAGTAGTTTCTCGGTCACCACATGCCAAATTAAGAAATTTTCACAACTATAAAGCCAGTTAATTTCCACCACTTTTTCCAATATTTCTTCTTTTAATTGATCTAAATCTGCCTTTTAGATTAAACTTTGCGTTTGAATCTCAAATGGGTCCCCAAAGAGAAGAGAATCATCACAAATTTTTTTCTCAATTAATTATCTTTATGCATTGAGATTATCTTTTGAATAAATTTTTGTTAGACAGTCCATGAGCAAGGATATATGCATGATCCTGGATCCTTCAAAAGAAAATCAGAAAAAGAAAAAGAGCATGTGTGGACGCTGAATCAAACAAAAATTAACTTAAAAAAAAGGGCATAGAGAAGATTTTCTTTGCTTGGGATTTTCTTTTTGGGGTTTGAGCCAAGATGGGTCGTGAATAATAAAATTGGGTGAATTATTGATGCATATATATATACATATACATACACATATAAGTTATTCCTGTTGGAGGAGAGAGAGGGGTTCAATTATTGGTTAGATATATAGGCCGAGATGACAATCATTGCAGCAAATTACTGTTAAAGCTTTGATCTTTCTAGGCTAGTAGCTACTTTTTATGCTTCGTTTTGGTTCTGAACTGTTTCAAGTGTAAATTAAAGAATCATATAGCTTAGTTTTGGCACCTTCCATGGATTCTCTACCCCTTCTTTTCTCTGAATTTATGAAATTAAGGACAAATAACAGAAGCGCATACGTACATAATACTTATGTATACATATATCATTTTGGAAAAAAAATTAACTTGATAGAAAAGTGTTATACATAATAAGTTCATTAATTTCAAATACCATTTCGAGTAATTTACTTGATTAATCTAATCCAGAAACAACATTAATTTTATTTTAAAAAATATTTCTGTCTTCAAGCAGATCCGTCTGCTGAGGTGATTGCTTTATCTCCAACAACTCTCATGGCGACAAACAGATTCGTCTGCGAAATCTGCAACAAAGGGTTTCAGAGAGACCAAAACCTGCAACTACACCGGCGAGGGCATAATCTGCCGTGGAAGCTCCGGCAACGAACGAGCAGTGAAATTCGGAAAAGGGTTTATGTGTGCCCGGAGCCGTCGTGTGTCCACCACAACCCGGCTCGTGCGTTGGGCGATCTCACCGGAATCAAGAAGCATTTTTGCAGGAAACACGGCGAGAAGAAGTGGAAATGTGATAAGTGCTCCAAGAAATATGCTGTTCACTCCGACTGGAAGGCTCATTCCAAGACTTGTGGCACCAAGGAGTATAAATGTGATTGTGGCACTATCTTTTCCAGGTATACATACATTACATACATATATATATATATATATACACACTCATGGTTGAGGTTCAAGATATGAAGTTTCTTGTCTTGCATATATATATATATATATATATTGTTTAGAAAAATAATCTAAATTACGTATAGAAGAAGAAAAATATAAGATTTTACGTAATTCCACAAAACTACCTACATCCACAGATAAAAGTGTTTCCACTATGATGATAATGAAGAGTATATCTGTGTGTGTGTGAGAGATGTATACATATATGATTGGGTACTGAAGCTGGCTGTTTGATATATATATATATATATACATGCATGTATACATATATAAGTGGTGGATTGTACTCTTCCTTTCAACTCATTGACAGAATATTATGCTAATTAACCGTTTTTGTTGGCTGATCAGTCTAATTAGTTTGACTATATCTTTCTACTATTAAATTGTTAAGGTATTATTAAACTCTCATCTAATCCCTTATTTAAATTGCATGTAGAGTTTTCTAATGAACTGTATATATATATATATGTATATTCTGATATAAACTAGGAGTTTTATATATTATGTTGAAAGATATATACATAAATATGTACTCAATTATTGTCATTAACAAATATAATATGTTTGATTAATCTTTCTCCTAACTAATTCTCTCCTTGACTTAGCCAAATGCATGCATGGCCTCCATTAATTAATTCCTTAATTTGCTTTTGTTATTAAACATAACGAAGATTCATTAACTAATATTTATATATACCAATATGCATTCACAGACTAATATTATATATAATTTTGCAGGAGAGACAGCTTTATCACGCACCGAGCCTTCTGTGATGCCCTAGCCGAAGAAAACAACAAAGTAAACCAAGGTTTATTAATGGCGGCCAACAACAACATAGCACAAGCCGCAAACCAAGTCATCCCTGAGTTAAATCCCACTCAATCTGCAAAAATGGCTTCTGGGTTTAGCCATCAAGAAACCAAGAATAACAACGCATTAACCATGGCGATGTTTTCGAGTAGCTCCACAAGCCTATTTGGCAATGCAAGAAGCCTAATACCCACTTCGTCATCTTCCTCAAATTGCCTGCAACTAAACGGGATTAACTCATCATCGATCTTCGAAGGTATCAACTGTAATAACAACGGAGGGTTACGTGGGGATCTGCAGTTATCTGGTTCTGCCTCGATGTCTGCCACGGCATTGTTGCAGAAAGCAGCGCAAATGGGTGCAACTTCTAGTGGTAATACCACTGTAATGAATAGTAATACTGGGAGCTGCATGGACTCGCCATTGATGATGCAGAAGAGCTTTGTGATGACAACAATGGCGGCTCCACCTTCCTTTGGCTGCACACAGAATAATCATCAATCCCAGACTTTAATGGCGATGAACCAGACGTTCAACAGTAATAGCAACAACATGGGGATGTTCAACGGAGTTTTTGACGACCAAAACGACAACAAAAGTAGCGTTTTGTCGAGGTTTAGTAGTGGAGATGGGATGACTCTTGATTTCTTGGGGATTGGCGGGTCAAGAAACAGCGGTAGGATCAATAATAGTAGTGATAATAATAATAATAATATTCTGCATGATCATCAAGAACATCAAGAATTGATAATTGAGTTTGGATCAGGAGGAATCAATGGCGGTCATCATCATCATCATCATGAGACAAGAATTCAAAGTTTGAACCCTTTTCAACAGCATGCAGCTGCATCAATGGAGAAACCCATGTGGGAGGTATAAAAAAACACCTTCTCTTCTCTCTGCAGCATCAATGGAGAAACCCTAGCAAGCTCTAGCCTCTTCAGCTACCTACTGGTTAATTAATTTTTGTTCCCTTTCTCCTCTGCAGGTTCTAGCTAGTCCTTGCGTAATATATGAATTCGTTAATTAGTTACCTTTTCTTTTCTTTCTTTCTTCAAAAAAATGTTTATATATATATATATGTTATAAGCAGCACCGTGGAAGTAAGAACATGTAAGTTTACTGTGTCCTGCTAAAGAGCAAGGCTTCGAGAAATTTTAGCCAGGATTTAGAAATTTATTATATTATAACAGAGTACCACTGCCTCTTGATCTTGCTTGATCCATGAACTTCAATTGGATTCTTAACTTAACTCTATCTAATGATTTAAAAAAGAAAAAACCAACGTTCTGTTTATATCTTTTTGATATATAGTGTATTATAAAGTAATATATATGTTTGGGTTAATACATATAGAAAGTCCATGTAATATATAGTTCTCGTATATATGAATAATTACATCTAAAATAAACGAAAAGGTAGTATTAACCCAAATATCTAATTAATTATTCGAAAGTTTTACATGCGCAATCCATGGAGAAACGGTGTCGTAATGGCTACATATGGCTCAAAACGTCTCTGGCAACTCGAAAAAATGAGAACCACAGAAAACTTGATAAGCATTATCTGAGCATGGTTATAATATCGTACTCTCCTCTTCCTCTCTCTCTCTCTTTCTCTATCTATCTATATATATATATTTATATATGTATGAAAGTATACACACACACAAGGACACATATATATCGTATGAGTAACGCAACGCACGATCATATATAAATATAACTACATATCTACATACATGTACTAAAAGGCCGTGTAAATGTAAATATCACACAATTTATATATAACGTATAAGTTGTAGAGTTGCAGAGATATTAGCTAGGGCTTACAAGGTGAAGGTTAATGGCGTTGAAACCCTGCTTCCATGCATGCAGAGATGCATCAGTGTACAGGGTTTGCCGGTCACAATCATCGAATGATAGGCAGGATCAGGCGAGCAACTGGACGGGACGGTCTCCGGCGGAGGAATTTTCGCCACTTGCAGTGACATTTAGGCGGCGGCTTCTTGTGGGTGTTGGGTCAGCTGGTCTGGTGGCTGTTGGTGCTAATTTTGGTGGAATTACGAGTTTTCTTCTCGGGTTGTCGCCGGAAAATGGTCGGAATCTTAAGCTCGATGTGCTTTATCCGATCGGAGGGTATAGCCGTTGCATTGACACTAACGAAGGATTTGGTCAGTAACTAATACATACATATATATATATATATTGGATATGTTTATTTATTTAATGCTAGTCAGAAAATTATATAAGAATTAGCATATACCCAGAATTCATATACCCAGCAAACTGGGTTGGAGATCAAACACTGTTATATCGAGCGACAAAACAACAAGAATTTCAGAGATCACTTGATCCTCCACCACTTGACCCTTCAAAATCCATTGATAGGCCCCGGAAGAATGTAACTGAGCCGATTGTTGCATTTGGCCCACCTGGTTCAACCGGCGAGCTCAATGTCAGCGTCGTCGCCTCGACAGTCCCTCTCGATTTCTCGTCAGTATCATCTTTCTTTGTTTTTTTGTATTACATATGTAAGAAATCAAATTTTATTTGGAAGCTTAGGATTCCAAGAAGAATACTTCAACAAATTTATGTTATTTTTCACAGAATTGATTCCTTCGGCGGGCCAGGAGAGATCGGAGGATTAGTGATCGGGGCAGTAACAGGATCCGGGCGACAGCCAGATGTGAAGGGAACTCTGATAGAGTCGAGCCTGAGAGAAGATTCATCAAGGGGTATCAAGTACTACAAGCTGGAATTCAGAGTTGAGCATCCCTCGTTTCGGCGGCACAATGTTGCAGTTTGTTGCTCTCGTCGAGGTAAATTATATACGCTAAATGCACAGGCTCCAGAACTGGCATGGCCGCAGGTGAAATCAGCCTTCTACACGATAGCTGATTCATTCAACCTCACATCTTGATTTAACAGAAGTAAATATACAATTTATTCTTTATACCATTTGTAACAGAGCTGACAATCCTAAACTTCCCTATCAATGCATGGACAAGCTGCACTGTGGTTCTAACAACCAAAACTGTGCGCATCATGTTCCGAAAATTTCACTGTCTAGATTTAGAGAAACAAGAAGATAAAGACATAAGATTGTGTAATTAAAAATGCTGTCCCAATACCTAAAATTGGACATCATCCATTATATGAAATAATTACAATATTACATAGAAATACATTTGTACATTTTTCAGACACCCAAAGAGCCACTGCTTTTATACTTTTGCCTAAAATTACAATCAATGTACAAAAAGTCAAGCACAACTTATCTGTGATCTCTTAGTGATCTCCAAATTTTCAGAGACTACTGCAGTCAAATTAGGGTCCTCAAACCCAAGCTCCACACCAAGTCTGCAGGAGGGGAGGAGAAGGTTATTCAGTAGTCTAAAAAAGTGGACTAAGTGTATGCACACACACATTATAGAAGACAATCAAAAATCATCAGATACAAAAATGCTGCAAGAGGTGCCGGAGGACAAATATAACGCCAAACCTCAAACAAATCCCGCTCAATTGTCTCCAATCTAAACCTAGTAAATCAGCAGCCACCAATGTAGCACGTCCAAAATGCAAAAAGGCAATGCTTAAATAATATCTTTTTGTTAAGGTGTCCTTTATGGCAAGAAAGACGACTTAGAATGTCAAAAAGGGAAGCCCAGATAGTAAGACAAACGTTAAAGCTTGATTTGCTTACTTTGGATCAAGCACCAATTTCTGGACTTCTTTAATGGCAGAACTAGCAGCATATAGTGATATTTTTCCTACCTGAACAAAACCCATTTCCAAAACAGATAAGTCAATGAGAATATAGGCCTAGCAAACAATGACAATATTAGAATGAGCTTAAGCATGTGAAAGAAATGTTCTGGAGAAAATTTTTGTTTGCACCTCCAAAATTTGAAGTTTTGCTTCATGATCATTTGGTAGACAGCGAATTTCTTCTGCCAATTTTACTGCCTCTCCCATGCTCTCGGGAAATAAGAAATCCAGACCCAACTGAACAGTGGACTGCATATATCGGCGGGAATCAGTTTAAAAGTTATAAATCACAGGAAATCTAGGACAGGAACAATGACACTTCGATGCACTAAAATTTAGTCTTTGATATTCTACAGTTGCATCAACTAATTTCAGATGCTCCAGAAGCAGTTGCCACTATAAATACAGTGCATATTCATGAATGACTTGATAGAACAGTTGAATTTTCTTTTCATAGAGTTATTTGAAGAATTTATATCATATATGATAATCCAAAGACAAGTATGAATTCCCATGTGGTCAATTTTCACTTTCCTTCAAATGAATCTAATCTGACAATAACAAAGACAAAGCAGTGTATATAATGGCATAATATCTAAAATTTTTTTATATAAGTACATATATCAATATATTTTATGTGGGACATTCACAAAAGAAAAGTCCCCTAAAGCTTATATAGATAAAACATTAGCCCATTATTTTGTTTGGAGATAAAACATTCGCCCATTATTTTACAAATAAAACAAAAGGGTCCCCTTTTGTTATTATTCTTAAAGATAGTCTTTGAATAATTATTTTCTTTGAAAGATAGATTAATTTAAATTTAGTTGATATGTACAATTTATTTAATAAGTTACTAAACTAATTAATTAGTTAATCAAAATATAGTACACTTGGAAAAATATAAATTCATAAATTGATCATAAAAATTATAGACTATCATTTATAATGAATTGAAATAACAGTTTTGCTTCAAAATCTTTGGATAAAACTGAATACAGAAAGAAGCTTTGGTATTATGACATGGCAAGGAGTTCAAAATTTGACTAGGGTGGCTATAATGGATGAATCAATAAGAGGCATCCTATTTATGATTGAACAAAGAAAAAAAAGAATATTTAAGCTTCTAGTCTCATTTCTTCTCCCTTTATTATGCTCCCTTCTCTATCTCATTTCTCACTTTTAACAGAAGAGTAAAAACATGGACTAACATGTAATTAGCATGATGTTCGGGAGGACTTTCTTGGGAAATCTCCTATTTTTTAATATCCAACAAAAGAATGAAAAACATGAAAGCAAGAAAGTTAACAGTTAAATATTTCAGGCATTTGATCTCTATTAACTCACCTGAAGATGTCTCACTTGAAAAGGGCATCCAGCAGGGATAAATACAGCTTGCCCAAAATGCTGTTCAAAGGACCATGGCTCCACTCCTAAAATATAAAAGATTATAATTGAAAATTTTCATGCCATAACGATTGAGCATTATCCTTCATAGGAAAAATGGACAGTAGCAACAGAAAACACATAAGACCATCACTCCATATGTATCTAAAACCGCAGTGCAGCATATAGAGTATTCTTTCAACAAGAATATTATCCTGGGCACGGATATAACGCCAAGTAAAAAAAGGAAATAGTCCAGTGACAAGTAACTACCCGGTTCAGATCATCACTGACAATATGGTTTTCCAACAAACTAGTTCTCTACTTCATCACAATCTACGCATTTCAGAAACTTTAGCATACAGCATTTACTTAGTTCAATGACTCTTAATCTAGTCATCTAGGGAACTTTAGCGTATAGGAGTTGGCTAGTTTCCAGTTTTCATGGCCAGATAAAATAAATATTCCAATTCCAAATGAGGCTACCTAGCCTCTGAAATTTCCATACCTACCCCTTTCTGACTGTAGAAGCTAGGAAAATAACAGATTAGCACCCTAAAACTTTCTACCAAAGGGGCTTGTAGTGGATATTCTCCAAATAATAGTGTACATGCAAGTGCAGTCAAGTGAATAGGTTGCTTAAACAAAAGCCAAAAAAGAATGTCAATTTTCCTTACCAAAGTCTTCCTTCAGTTTCCTCTTATGGTGCTCTGTCAGGAACAAGCCTTCCTCGTACAGAGGGCATGTCTCCTAAAATACATGCAATCCGTTGTTTGTTACTTTCTCTTATATACATACAAAAAGGCAAGAATTCTATGAGACTAAGCACATAACCTTACCACATCACTTATCATACTGCCAGGCTTCCCAAAATCCTTCCAGTGAACTCTTAAATATTCGATTAACTTTGGAACATCCTGCCGGCGAAAGACATCCCAATGAGCTCCAGGATAAGTCTTTACCGGAACATGCTCACCACCTCCATCTACCACCTCACTGTCAAGAGTTTTCTCTTTGACAACATAAGTAGCATCCATCAGTTGATCCTCCATTCTCTCATCTTCATCTGCAGCTGAGTTTGTCCCACATTCACTCTGAATATCAGGTCCTCGAAGTGATAAATCAGGAAAATTTCCTTCTTCTAACCCTGTTTCAGGCTCTGCATGCGACCTATCTGCCTCAGATTTACCAATGGATTTCTGCGTCTTCTCAGATTTTATCCTTTCTAAGGCATTTAGCTCCGTTTCAAATATGTGCACAAGTAGGTAAACCTGATAATGGTTCAACATCAATCAATTCATATTCCTCAAACTACTATATACAAGTCATTTCACAGCAGAACATAATATGCTGAGGAAAATCAGATCGATAAATCATCCTCATTTTGGCTCCATCTCATCTAAGGCTTGACAAGGATAGGATGGCAATTCCACATTGGAACCAAATCAAGTTCAAATAATTATAAAAATTTGATTCAAAATATTTAAAAAAATTCGATGAATCATAAATCATAGTAATAATGATAATAAAATAATCTAAGTTTTACCAAATAAAAATAAATAAATAAATAATGAATGTTTCTCATGCTGAAGCTTAAGAAGTCTGCATGTCTTAGTTAAAGAAATCAACAGAAAATCATAATCCATCTTGCCCAATAAGATAACACCATGTACAAATTAAGTACATTTTTGGTCCCTGACCTTTATCCGTTTCCTATTTTAGCCCCCTACCTTTCAACCTATACAATTCAGGTCAACAATCATAAATTTTCCCAATTTAATCATTCTTTCATTTGTTAGTGTTAAAACTAACTAGAGCTGTCAAGCATGCATTATGTTGTCATACATTTGATTATGTCAAGCATACAAACCCAATCCCGAATTTGAATCTGACCAGACCTGCTCACACAACCCACAACCTTACCCGTCCAAAAATCCCATCTTTTTTTCAGCAATTTTTATCTCTCTCTTCTCTCTCCGAACACATTAGCTACAGCAAAGCTAGATTCATCCTGTAATTTTATGTTTCTTAAACCACATTTTATCACTCCCATTCTCTAATCTTCAGGGGACTCCCAACTGTCTGTTATGCCAATCGAACCTATATTTAAATATTTTGATGAAGTCCAACAACTCTTCTCTGAAAAACAAAATAAATCTGTTGGTCTATCTGTTCAATCATGTTAACTATTTTGGCATTTGATCACCATGTCAAACTGTTCAATCATTTAAATTAAATCTTGAAGAAAACAGGATCAAGAAAAAGTAATTTGTTTTGGAATATAGGAAGTAACACGCAGCAAGCGAGAATACTTATTTCCTTTTGAATACTACTTTTCCTGTAAGTGGATTTTATACAACACTAGTGACCATTTGATGCCTTAGAATTGAAATATCTTTTTCTTCTAAAAAGATAAAAAGATAAATGAATAAACTGCCAATTAAAGGCAATATTATTACCATGTAGAAATCAGCAAGTTGGGATCTTGAGTTTCTTCTTAAACTAAATTGACTTGGGATAAGGAAGCACTTCTTTCTTCCTATAACTGAGAATATATTTACTGAAGCTAATATTTATATGGAAATTAATAACGCTGGAATCTACTTGGGCGAGACAGACTAGAACTGTTAAAGAAAAAGAAGACGAATAAGAAGATGATGATGATAACGATGATGATCAAGATGAATGTTATAAACTGGTCAGGTTGTGGGTTGTTTGGGTGGGTTGTGTAGGTGGATCTTTTCTTGTTTAAATCTGAGATTGGGTTTGCTAAGTTTCCATGTCATGTCATTAATTTTTTATGACATAGCATGCAGTTGAAAATCCAGTTAATTTTAACACCTAAAGCTCTTCCAAAAGAACCGAATTAAAAATTTTATACAATGTTGTCTTAAATCGTATAGATGGAAAAGTTCAGACACTAAAATAGGAAAAGAAAATGAAAGTTAGGACCAAAAAATGTTTTATTTCACTGCTCAATTTGATTATAAGCAAACAAGAAAAGAGTAACTTACCATATCACGCATATTGAATTGGAGATGGGTCACAGAATCACCTTTACCAAGCTCCTCATTGGTCCCATAAGATATATAAATCTTTGGTCCTACATCATTCTGCAGAGAGTAATGAGGTAATTTCGCTGCAACATTTAGAAGACCCAACCTGGAATGGATAAATTCATGTAACGGCAGTCTACTAATAAAATCAGGTCTCTGGTAAAGTAAAAACTCTTCTGAAGCACTTGGGGAAGGCCAATCTTTCAACTTTAACATTTCTGGTAAACCATTTTCACGAATTCGTCCCTGTGAATATCCTTTTATGAACTCACCTAGTTCAATATCAACCTGCATCGCATCGTAAGACAAATCAACATATTACATTGATTTACAGTAAGCATTAAGGATAAGTAAGAATACTAGCATAGCAGCGGAATATACCTCAGACAAGTCCAAACAATCTATAGCTTTCACCAGCCTGTTCTCATCCTTTGACTTTTCATCCACTGTCTCCCGTATTCCTCTCCAAATAACTTCTGGATCCCAACTTGAAATGGAGGAAATTTCACATACCTCATCAACAATCACAGGTTCACCCTTGGCCCAGTGCTTTCTGAAATTGCTAATTCCTTCTTTTCTAATATCTTCAGATGATGGGCAGTATAAAAAATTAGCAACACCATCCTGTCTGTTAGCATATTGGCGAAATCTCGGATCATTTGACCCCAAGTTTTGTGGATTGTCATTGTCAGAAGCTTTACAGCCACTAACCATTTCCTCCACATTCTTTACCAGCTTTGCAACCCAATTCATCTTAAAAATGCGGCTTAGATTCAATGATGTATAGCCACAGCCACCATATTCCTTAGGAGGACACGGAATGCTGCCATCTGTTTTGGCTTTCCAACCAGGGAACTTTTCCGAGAATTTTAGTTTTAGCTTAGGTACTTTCACTTGCCATAACGTGATTTTCTCTTGGGTTCTCCCATTGTTCTTATCTTCAGCCACTTCTTCTTTAGCAGTATCTAAAGATACTTCCCGGAGATCTTGACAGCAGCTAAGGCATAAATCATATGAACAGTTTGCACAGTGCCGATGATAGTCAATAATTGGTATCCTGCAAATATTGCTGAAGAAAGACTAGTCAAAATCGCCTCCAAGTCTTCAAACATTTTGAAAAGGAGAAAGAAAAAACATAGAAAAGTAATGTAATCCTTGCAAGACCTAAAGAATGATTTTTATCCATCAACACTCTTAAGCTACAAATAATTAACTCCACCAAAAAGACAGATCTATCAATACAATTTTTTTCAAGCAAGGTATAACCATCTCCATGAGAAATAACTACATGTAGGACAGTATGAATAACTTTCTGAAACTTGATTGTTTATAGACAAATCTAGCCAAGTAAAAATAGCTCATAAAATCTCTTGAAGTACCAGCACATCTGCTCATCTGCATTCAGTTTTGCCCTAACAAGATCAATTTCAGTTCCTGAAACAAAAAAAAAAAGGGTCCTGTGAAAATTAAGGACCAGAAATCTTAGGCATCAAACACCATGGAAGCATAAAAAGCATTTTACCACGAAGCCCTTTTTCCAGTTCTACTTCAGAGCACTGTTCATTGTGAATCAGCTTAACTACTGGAAGCACGGAGGATAGTAGACGGTAAAGATACTGCAATTTGTCTAGAACAGGTATCTCCCTTATCCTTACCTACCACTCATGCAGAAGATTTAACCAATCAACAAACAAAATAATGACGATGAACTAGGAAATATTTGATTGCAAGATTTGACAAAGAAAAAGCAACAATATAACAAACACAGGACTTTTTTATCAAAAAATAAAATACCTTTATCATATTATCTCCGCGTAAACACACCTTGCAGTTGCAGGAACCGCGGCATGCAGGACAGACCTTCTCAATTTCTTCCAATGGGATCTCCGAGTACCTGAGAGAAAGGAAAAGAAACACAAATATTCAGCATGCTTGCAGAATTGAAATGCAAAAATACTGCCTGGAAGTTTAACCTCACCACGTGGAAATACAGCTATCACAGTATCCTCTCCTGTCACATTTCAGACACCAAATTACTCTACATCTGTCATTCCTTCGGCATTGATGACAAGTCTGCCCACCAGTGTCTTCAGATGAATCTGCAGTCCCATCAGAGTATTCCTGGAAAATGATTTGTTCATTTGATAGTATTGAAAGAATGATAAAAAATAAGAACTAAAACAGCAAACAGGATCATCATATTAAAGGATCGTTGCAACTGTAGATATCATGGAACAATACCAAAAAGAACTTAAGGTAACTCCAGTCATCCTGTTCCAAACCATTTTCATTTCAAAACCCAAAAAGGTTATATAATTTCATGGCTTGAATATCCAAAATCATTTTTTAATGTCCCTCGAGTCATTCTGTACTACCAATATACTAACAATTCATGATCACCAAGGAACATGACAAGAAAGCTTTCGTTCACAACTTGTTCAGTTGTATCCACCTAGGAAGAGGATGAGAAAGTTGTTTCAGAAATGTACCAAAAGGTTAATGAAGTACCACCAATTTCTAATCTAAGCTAAGATAAGTAAGTTGGATCCTGAAACAGACAAGAAGCTATTAGATCTGACAGCAGCATGAAGTATATTAGCAATCTTATCCCATTGATAAACTTGGTCTCCTCAACCATTAAGTTCAATTTGAAAACTCCTTGCAAAGCGAAATTTGTCAGTTGGCACCCTAAAGTAGGAAGGATTACCCTCATTCCAGTGCGTCTATAAGTAACTTAACAACTGTGATACTCTTAACGATCCAATAACTCTGTGAATATCTTCCCTTCAACACTCGAAACACTTCCAAAGCACGCATACACGCACAGCAAACTTCAAACACTTACAAATACGACAACTATAGTAGATATGTAATGCTTATATTGAAAGATTATGCTAAAATTTTATATATATATTACCATATTATCGAAGCTCCTCTGTGATCTGTTCCTGGATGAATCCATAGTAGAAACAGGTGGTGTCTTGTATGACTTCCAGCTCTCTTCAAATCCAACATCTCTTTGTGAATCATCACTTGGCTTGAGAGAGTTCCGTGCAGAGGAAGTCCTCATTGGAGGAGTATCGGGGGAATACTGAATTTGACTTTTTGGCACCTTCTCTTTCAACTTCTTTGTTGGGGCCGAACCATGATAGTCACTGATTTTCAAATTCACAAGGGGAGTATCAAAATCATCACTCTTACTCTCCAAGTAAACATCACTTTCACCCAAAGATTTTCTTTTTGCTTTCTTTAGACTAGCCCTCAAAGCCGAATTCGCAGCCCTCCTTTTCGCTTGAATGTAGTGCTTTTCGCACACTGTTTTGTCTGGCATGGACATGGCAGTGCATCTCCACTGCTTACCATCTGACCTCTTGCATCGCAAATCATCAGGAACGCCTGCATTTTCATCACCATTTCCCGAAGCTGTTCGCTGGTGATCCATAGCAGTCACGACAGAACAAAATTCAACTCGTGATGAAGAGAAACAACTCCACAACCAAAAACTCACAAGATCATCCTGCATTACCACAATGAGAAGTCTAATTTGCCTCCACTTTTAGATATTAACCAACAAGAAAGTAAACCATCAAATTCAAAACGCTAGAAACAACACAACCGGGGGCAAAGTAAAACCAATAGCTTATGCAGTACGAAGTCAGTAATCAAATACAGTGCACTAAACACACCCTCAGAACCTTCACACCAGGAAAAAAACAACAAATTTGCACTTGGCTCGCCATGGATAAGCTTAAACAACCACCAATTTAAACAATAACGAGAAGAATACGACCGACTGATTGAGAACGAACAAGCCAAGCATTAACAGTAGCACACCAGCAATCGAAGAATTAGACGATTTTCCGCTCGTCCAAACAGCATACAGAAAAAATTAACTTACTAAGAGCGAGCATTCGATCCACAGAGTACACTCGACAACAACATACGAGGGAAACACGTATAGAGAGAGAACGAAACACGACATGTACCTGATACTAGGGTTTGATTGGGCTGATACAATATAGGCAGCTCGCGTGACATAACTGGAGTAGCGGAAGAAACAAAGGAATCAGATTACAGCGAGTTGCAGATTTTCTTTTTGCTTCCCATTTATTTAATTTATTTCCCCTTTTACGCATTCTTCTTTTTTTTTTTCTCTCTAATTTCCCCTGAACCCTGGTTATTCAGGCAACTGCGAAGTTCACACCAGAAGACTGTTTACGTTCTTCGTACTCCACCTTTTTGCACTTTCTTCTCTGTTTAATTTTCTTTTTCTTCAAAAAAATAAATAAACAGTGTTTTCTTTATTATTTTAAAAATTTATTACAAATCAATAATAATAGTTTTATAATACTTAATTTAATTTATTAAAATTTTAATTATTAACAATGAATTTATAATGTTTTTACTTAAAAAAATTAATTTAATTCTAAAAATTAACTAATAAAATTACAAATAAATTTTGTTTTAATTATTACATAATTAATAATACAATGACTCTGTGTGGGACTTAATTATTTTAGCCTCACTATATGTCGTAAAATTATAAATAATTACATAATTATTTTTTTAAATTTTTTATTAAAAAAAGTTTTAAAATTTTGTATAATTGTTTTAAATTATTATTTTTCTTTTTATTTTATTTGAATGACATAATATAATTTTAAAATTATAATTTTTATATTTTATAATTATAAATTTAAATAACATATTATATAAAAATTGTATTGTGTTTTATGGACCGTATCAACTTAGTATATGATAACTTAATTAAATGAAATAATAGTTTACATTTTTAACAAAGGCTCTAAATTAATATTTTTTAATAATTTTTTCAAAAGCACCAATTTAAGACATTAAAAAGTACAAAATTATTATTTAATTTAATTAATTTGTAAAACATTAATTTATACCGTCAATAAATCGCATAAACCCATTTTTGGTTTTTATAATATTAAATAAATTTTATTATTTTAAATAAATATTTAAATTAATAATTTTATAATAGTACCGTTAAAAACCGTAGTACATATAATTAATTTAAACACGTAACATAATTTAAATATTATTTAAAATTTATATCGCGTACCAACCATCTCACATAAAAAGTTAATAATCAAATAATATCATGTCTTTAAATTAGTGATATGTAGTACAATTTTTAATGATATTAATAATTAATTCATATATTTTTTTTTAAATAAAAAAATAATTGGACACAAACCAAATTAAAAAAAATATATAACTAGTACACCGGTTATAAATATATAAAAGTTGTTGATAAAAATGTACGAGTATTTAAATAATGTTACGCATTTAAATTAGTGACATATAACACGATCGTTAATAGTATCAATAACTAATTCAAATATTTTTAAAAGTCCAAAATTACAAATGACATGTGACACGGTCGTTAGCTGATTGTTTAACTTATTTAAATAATATTTAATTTAATAAATTAAATAATGTAACGTGTTTAAATTACTGATTTGTACTACGATCGTTAAGTAATTAATTCGAATATTTTTAAAAGTACAAAAACTTAACTAAATGTAAATTTTTAATATAAATCAAGTTAAATAAAAATAAAATAGTATATTGATTACAAATCTATATAAACTGTTAGTAAAAATATAAGAGAATATTAAATAATTTATAAAAAAAAAAATGGTTATGACGTACATTTTATTAAACAATGTCTACTACCATTATAATCATTTTATGAATACAATAAAATAATTGTTTAATTATAATAACATTTATCAAGTATCAAATTATAAATAAAAAAATTAGAGTATATTAGTAACATGACGGCTAAATCATTGAAGTACACTATTTATATGCTAATTTTGTAAATATTCAATACCTTATATTAATAATTATAATAATGTAAATATAACATATACTTACATATGGGTTAAAATTTTATTTCGAGTCTAAATAATTTTAAAACAAGTTAAAATACAATAAAATATGAATTGGAGTGAATCTAAAAGTTAAAAATAGTTTATATAAATTTTTTTTTTTTAAAAGAATTTAGCAATGCGGTGGCCTGTCTCATTGCATTTTCGCCGAACCTAGCATACTAAAATTTCAGAACGCTCAGCTAACATAGCCTTTACATTATTCCGTAATCAACCCAAATTTTGATCATCCTCAACCTCCCTCAATGATACTTAATGTATTTGCAGTACATTTGTTTCAACAACATTCAATTATAAAATGTTCAAATTAATATATTTTAGTGCAGTCCGGCAGCCTAAAAATTCAGTAAAGTATGAAAATTTACAGTATCGTAATATTTTCGAAAAGACCAACAACACAAGTTTAGTCGAATATTTGACAATCACACCATACCCTCCCATGCATCC